CTCAGCAAATAATGCAGCCGTGGGAGTTTAGCTTAATATCAACATCTGTGGCAGGCCACTGACATGAATCAACAGTAGACAAACGGGGTGGCTTTAGTGAAAACACAGCGTGCATAATGCCACACGGAGAACTCAGTCATCCATTGTGACAGGGGAGTCTCTGAACCGTCCATCACAGGACCGTAAATGCTTCCTTTGTAGACTGACCTCAGGTGTTAGGCCTGCACTGGATCAGAACCACCGTTCCTCGTCAGGGACCCAGGGACCAGCAACTAATTCAGCTTTTTGAAAGCAGGGCCAGCATGGGAGACCAGGAGAAGCACCTGGCTCCTGGCTTCGGATCAGCACGGTGCACCGGCCATAGCACGCCGGCTGCAGCGGCCATTGGGGGGTGAACCAATGGAAGAGGAAGACCTTTCTCTTTGTCTCTCTCTCTCTCTGTCCACTCTGCCTGTCAAAAAAAAAAAAAAAAAAAAAAAAAAAAAGAAAGAAAGAAAGCAGGGTGGGTGGTGGTGTATGGTGCTGTGGCACAGCAGTTTAAAGCCACAGCCTGCAGGGCTGGCATTCCCTATGGGCACCGGTTCAAGTCCCGGCTGCTCCACTTCCAACCCAGCTCTCCACTAATGCACCTGGGAAAGCAGCAGAAGATGGCCTAAGTCCTTGGTGCCCTGCACCCACGTGGGAGACCCAGAAGAAGCTCCCAGTTCCTGGCTTCAGGTCAGCTCAGCTTTGGCCATTGTGGCCATTTGGGGAGTGAACCAGTGGATGGAAGGTCTCTCTCTATATAACTCTTCAAATAAATAAAATAAATAATAAAAAAAAAAGAAAGGAAGGTGGAAGGCTGCCAACGTGTCCTTTCCTCAGCCCTGTGGGGTCACCCTGACCAGGACACTTCCTGTCCTCAGCCCTGGGGGTCACCCTGACCTGGACACTCCCTGCCTTCAGCCCTAGTTGGGGGGTGGTCACCATGGCCTGGACACTCCCTGACTTCAGCCCTAGTTGTAGGGGGTCACCCTGGCCTGGACACTCCCTGTCTTCAGCCCTGGGGGTCAACCTGACCTGGACACTCCCTGTCTTCAGCCCTAGTTGGGGGGGGGGGTCACCCTGGCCTGGAGACTTCCTGTCCTTTGCCCTAGGGGGGTCACCCTGGCCTGAGACTTCCTGTCCTCAGCCCTGGGGGGGGTCACCCTGGCCTGAGACTTCCTGTCCTCAGCCCTGGGGGGGTCACCGTGGCCTGAGACTTCCTGTCCTCTGCCCTGGGGTCACCCTGGCCTGGAGACTTCCTGTCCTCAGCCCTGGGGGGGGTCACCCTGGCCTGAGACTTCCTGTCCTCAGCCCTGGGGGGGTCACCGTGGCCTGAGACTTCCTGTCCTCTGCCCTGGGGTCACCCTGGCCTGGAGACTTCCTGTCCTCAGCCCTGGGGGGGGTCACCCTGGCCTGAGACTTCCTGTCCTCAGCCCTGGGGGTCACCCTGGCCTGAGACTTCCTGTCCTCTGCCCTGGGGTCACCCTGGCCTGAGACTTCCTGTCCTCAGCCCTGGGGGGGTCACCCTGGCCTGAGACTTCCTGTCCTCAGCCCTGGGGGGGTCACCCTGGCCTGAGACTTCCTGTCCTCAGCCCTGGGGTCACCCTGGCCTGGAGACTTCCTGTCCTCAGCCCTGGGGGGGGTCACCCTGGCCTGAGACTTCCTGTCCTCAGCCCTGGGGGGGTCACCGTGGCCTGAGACTTCCTGTCCTCTGCCCTGGGGTCACCCTGGCCTGGAGACTTCCTGTCCTCAGCCCTGGGGGGGGTCACCCTGGCCTGAGACTTCCTGTCCTCAGCCCTGGGGGGGTCACCGTGGCCTGAGACTTCCTGTCCTCTGCCCTGGGGTCACCCTGGCCTGGAGACTTCCTGTCCTCAGCCCTGGGGGGGGTCACCCTGGCCTGAGACTTCCTGTCCTCAGCCCTGGGGGGGTCACCGTGGCCTGAGACTTCCTGTCCTCTGCCCTGGGGTCACCCTGGCCTGGAGACTTCCTGTCCTCAGCCCTGGGGGGGGTCACCCTGGCCTGAGACTTCCTGTCCTCAGCCCTGGGGGGGTCACCGTGGCCTGAGACTTCCTGTCCTCTGCCCTGGGGTCACCCTGGCCTGGAGACTTCCTGTCCTCAGCCCTGGGGGTCACCCTGGCCTGAGACTTCCTGTCCTCAGCCCTGGGGTCACCCTGGCCTGAGACTTCCTGTCCTCAGCCCTGGGGTCACCCTGGCCTGGACACTTCCTGTCCTCAGCCCTGGGGGGGTCCGCTGGCCTGGACACTTCCTTTCCTCAGCCCTGGGGGTCACCCTGGCCTGGACACTTCCTGTCCTCAGCCCTGGGGTCACCCTGGCCTGGAGGCGTCCCAGGGTGACCCCAGGGTGGATGCCAGCAGAGGCAGAAAGAGAGAGAGAGAGAGGTGTTCCATCCACTGGTTCACTCCCCAGTAGCCACAACAGCCAGGGCTGGGCCAGAAGGAAGCCAGGAGCCAGGAGCTTCTTCCAGGTCTCCCACGTGGGTGCAGGGGCCCAAGCACTTGGGCCATCTTCCATTGTTTTCCCAGGCCATAGCAGAAAGCTAGATTGGAAGTGGAGCAGCTGGGACTCAAATTGGAGCCCATATGGGATGCCGACACTGCAGGCGGTGGCTTTACCCACTGCACCACAGCACCGGCCCCAGGGAGACAGCAGTGGCCCCAGCTGCAACATGTATTGACACAGTCTCCTCACAATGCGACTTTGATCATTTTCCCACCCATGTTGAGGCCTATGTGTGTCCCTTCTCCTTGACCTGGGCGTGGTGTGTGGCTTCCTGGATCAACAGTGTGGCCAGGCGACACCACGTGAGTTTCAAGGCCTGGTCATGGAAAATGCAATGCTCTCCGCCTTGACCTCAGCCATGGCTGCTCTGAGGGCATCTGGACCACCCACCCAGAAGGGCCCGTGGACAGGGATGCCTGGCCACCCTACCCGCTTCCGCCTGCACCTTCTGACCTGCAGCTCTATGAGTGGCCACCACGGAATCACCTGCTCGCCAAGCCCGACCCAAGTTCCCGACCCATGGAGACTGCTGCTGTGTAAACCAGCAGGCATTGGGACGTGCTGCATGGCCTATAGGGAGGAACAGCAGAGCGAGGGGGATGCTGGGAAAGGGAGCCCAGGGTTCGAGAGAGGCGGAGGTGTCTAAGAACAGGAGGAAGATGTCCAGGGTCCTTCGCAGACGGGCAGTGGAGACTTGCCCTGTAAGCACTGCAGTGTGGCCCGGGGGCACCTGGGCTGGCAGCCCGCTGTGAGTGGCTCTGGGAAACCCCTTCTCCTTCTCAGGGAACACTGTGAGCTGAAACTCGGTGTGAAGAAGAGAGCGGCTGACACGCACCAGCTCTGACCGAGGCTCCTCCGGGGCACAGGCCCTGACCTGCTGAGCCCAGCCCCCACCCTGGCAGTTGTCTATGGGACAGAAGTGAGGGACAGACCAGAGCTTAGAAACATGGAGCAAGGAAGAGGCAAAGCAACCAGGCCCCACGGGCAGAGGCTGAGGTGGACGGGTCCTGGGGTGGACAGGTCCTGGGGTGGATGAGGTCTGGGGTGGACAGGTCCTTGGGTGGATGAGGCCTGGGGTAGACAGGTCCTCGGGTGGATAAAGCCTGGAGTATATGAGGCCTGAGGTGGACGAGGCCTGGGGTGGACGGGTCCTGGGGTAGATGGGTCCTAGGGTGGACGAGGCCTGAAGTGGACGAGGCCTGGAGTGGATGGGTCCTGGGGTGGACAGGTCCTGGGGTGGACGGGTCCCAGAGTGGATGAGGCCTGAGGTGGACGGGTCCTGGGGTGGACAGGTCCTGGGGTGGACTGGTCCTGGGTAGATGAGGCCTGGGGTGTATGAGGCCTGGAGTGCGCGAGGCCTGGGGTGGACAGGTCCTGGGGTGGATGAGGCCTGGGGTGGATGAGGCGTGGGTGGATGAGGCCTGGGGTAGATGGGTCCTGGGGTGGATGTGTCCTGGGGTGGATGGGTCCTGGAGTGGATGAGGCCTGGAGTAGATGAGGCCTGGAGTAGACGAGGCCTGGAGTAGACGAGGCCTGGGGTGGATGGGTCCTGGGGTGGATGAGGCCTGGGGTGGATGGGTCCTGGGGTGGACTGGTCCTGGGTAGATGAGGCCTGAAGTGGACGAGGCCTGGAGTAGACGAGGCCTGGGGTGGATGGGTCCTGGGGTGGATGGGTCCTAGAGTGGATGAGGCCTGGGGTGGACGGGTCCTGGGGTGGATGGGTCCAGGGTAGATGGGTCCTGGGGTCGACGGGTCCTGGGGTGGATGGGTCCTGGGGTGGATCAGGCCTGGGGTGGATGTGTCCTGGGGTGGACGGGTCCTGGGGTGGACTGGTCCTGGGTAGATGAGGCCTGAAGTGGACGAGGCCTGGGGTGGACGGGTCCTGGGGTGCATGGGTCCTGGGGTGGACTTGTCCTGGGGTGGATGGGTTCTTGGGTGGACGATGCCTGTGGTGGACGGGTCCTGGGGTGGATGGGTCCTGGGGTGGATGAGGCCTGGGGTGGATGAGGCCTTGGGTAGGTGAATCCTGGGTGCACTAGTCCGGCCCAGAGAATAGTGTCCCCCCCCCACCTCCCTTGTACCCCTGCCACTTCAGCGCACCAATGCCTGTTCTCTATGTGCTAAAAAGACAACAGGTAACAAAGGTGGCAGAGCTGAAAAGAGCGAGAGAACTGATCAGGTTCCTCATCCACTGATCTTTATCCAAAACGTCCAATGGAGACAACTGGAAGCCGGAAGAGTTGTGGTGATGCACAGGGCTGCCTTCCCACCTCACAGGATGGCATCAGATTCTTATGAGGTTTCAGTTATTGGGCATCTGTAGCCAACAAACACGAAGGAATGAAGTCTTAGCAAGACCAAATTATGAAGAAATAACACAATTGTGACCCACCTACAGTAAAGTGAAGATTGCAAAGTTTTGCATATTTTTAAAAGTCACTTATTTGTCTTCACAGCTCCTGTGTATCGTGAAATCCCCCTGGGGGAAACATCGGTACTCAGACGCCCACAGTACTCGTCCTGGAACACGGGTGCCTGCCCCTCCTCTTCCTTCTTCACCGGGAGCTTCGAGCAAGGCCCTGGGAGCAGAAGAGGTGTGCAACCGTTCAAGAGGCATGCAACCATCCAAGAGGTGTGCAACCATCCAAGAGGCGTGCAATCATCCAAGAGGCGTGCAACCATCCAAGAGGCATGCAACCATCCAAGAGGCGTGCAACCGTCCAAGAGGTGTGCAACCATCCAAGAGGCGTGCAATCATCCAAGAGGCGTGCAACCATCCAAGAGGCATGCAACCATCCAAGAGGCGTGCAACCATCCAAGAGGCAGGCAACCGTCCAAGAGGTGTGCAACCATCCAAGAGGCGGGCAACCAACATGCAACCATCCAAGAGGCGTGCAACCACCCAAGAGGCGTGCAACCATCCAAGAGGCGTGCAACCATCCAAGAGGCGTGCAATCATCCAAGAGGTGTGCAACCATCCAAGAGGCGTGCAATCATCCAAGAGGCGTGCAACCGTCCAAGAGGCGTGCAATCATCCAAGAGGCGTGCAATCATCCAAGAGGCGTGCAACCATCCAAGAGGTGTGCAACCGTCCAAGAGGCGTGCAATCATCCAAGAGGCGTGCAACCATCCAAGAGGCGTGCAACCGTCCAAGAGGCGTGCAATCATCCAAGAGGCATGCAACCATCCAAGAAGCGTGCAACTGTCCAAGAGGCATGCAACCACCCAAGAAGCGTGCAACTGTCCAAGAGGCGTGCAACCGTCCAAGAGGCGTGCAACCGTCCAAGAGGCATGCAACCATCCAAGAGGCGTGCAATCATCCAAGAGGCGTGCAACCATCCAAGAGGCGTGCAACCATCCAAGAAGCGTGCAACTGTCCAAGAGGCATGCAACCACCCAAGAAGCGTGCAACTGTCCAAGAGGCGTGCAACCGTCCAAGAGGCGTGCAACCATCCAAGAGGCGTGCAACCATCCAAGAGGCGTGCAATCATCCAAGAGGCATGCAACCATCCAAGAGGCGTGCAACCATCCAAGAAGCGTGCAACTGTCCAAGAGGCATGCAACCACCCAAGAAGCGTGCAACTGTCCAAGAGGCGTGCAACCGTCCAAGAGGCGTGCAACCGTCCAAGAGGCGTGCAACCATCCAAGAGGCGTGCAATCATCCAAGAGGCGTGCAACCATCCAAGAGGCGTGCAACCATCCAAGAAGCGTGCAACCGTCCAAGAGGTGTGCAACCGTCCAAGAGGCGCGCAACCATCCTGTCTGACAAGAACGCTGTGCAGGTGAAAGGCCAAGACATCACTAGTGCCACATCCTGACTCTCAGTGTAAGAAGAAACCATTCCAGAAATAGTCACATATTTCCACAGGGCTACACTGCTTAGATGACAATATGGACATTGCCTGTGGCCACGCTGAAAACAAACTAAACACAAGTGTGCAAGTCAGCAGGCACCAGGACAGAGAGGCCAAGGTGGGAGCTCCGTTCACAGGATCAGGTGGACCACAGCACAGGGAGCAGACGTGGCAGGCAGGTTCTCAGAGCTGTGGCACCTGGAGGATCTTCCTCTGTGGCTGTGAGGGTTAAGGTCAGAGTGCAAAGGGCACCACAAAGGCAAAGGAGGGCAGAAGCTGCAACTGAGACACACGTGTAGCTGGGACCCTGAGGTGTCACACGCCTGGGACAGGTGTTCAGGGCCAGTCCCGAGGCTGGGACCCTGAGCTGTCAGGGCTGCGATGTGCAGGCAGGGTCTTAGAGGGGGATGAGGGGAGGTGGCACTGATCACACTGGGCCCAGTGGCAGCGCAGCCCATGCAGGAGGCCAATGTGGTGAGGCCCATTTGGGACTGGGGACAGGAGGAAGCATCCAGAAGGTGTTAGTTCTCACACCGGGGCTTCTGCGTACTCTGGTGTGTACAAAGACAAGCATCTGTGTGACGTGAGTCAGGTGCAGCTACACTAGGCCAGTGTGGGAAGACAGGAGTGACACACACACGCTACGCAGCTGTGTGCAGGCGTCTGCAGTTCCCCCGGAGGTGAACTTAAGTCTGATCATTGTTCTTCTTAACTTTCCATGAAAGAAGGCGAGATCTCATCCAATGATCAGACCACGTGTGCTCCCAAGATTCCAAGCTGCCAGGAATGGCTGCCCCAGGAAAAAGGCCCAGAAATGTCCTCAGGCCAGGAAGTGAGTAGGCCGGCCAGGTCTGCTTGGGCTCTCACAGGGGAGGGGCAAAGCCCTGTCTGTAGGATCACAGCACCCAGGATATTGAAGCTCTCGCACAACAAACGTTCTTCTCGAGAGAGAAGATGAATAGAAAGGCCGTGCAGCGAGGTGCCCTTGTGCGATGGCCACGTGCAGGCTCGATGTTCAAGTCAAAGCATTGAAGAAGCCGCCTGCCTGGGTGACAAGGTTCTCTGACCTGTTAGTGAGTCCTTGTTGAGAAATGGGAGGTAGGGATGTGCCCTGTCCCCAGACAGCTGCCTTGGAGCCCACAGGAGGCAGAGTGGCGACCAAAACCTACAGAAGCTGATGGCTTTACCTCGCTTTGTCAAGATCCTCTTAGTACTTGACAGATTTTAACCCAAATTCACAAACTGTAAGATAAAAGCAGGAACTCACAGTCTGTGTCATTCCTGAAAGAAGTGAATATTATGAAATAATTAGTTTTTTACTTCAGCAGCTGTCATTCATTGTTGTACTTTCTAAAGAAAACATTAATGATGCTCTGGCTGCCTGAGTTTCTTCTCTTTTTTAAAGATGTATGTTTTGAAAGGCAGAGTGTGTCTAGAGAAGGAGAGACAGAGAGAGACATCTTCCCATCCACTGATTCACTCTCCAAATGGCCACAACAGCCAAGGCTGAGCCAGGCCAAAGCCAGGAGCCAGGAGCTTCTTCCAGGTCTTCCACATGGGTGCAGGGGCCCAAGCACTTGGGTCATCTTCCATTGCTTTCCCAGTTGCATTAGCAGGGAGCTGGATCAGAAATGGAGCAGCAGGGACTCAAACCAGAGCCCATTAGGGATGCTGGCCATGGCTTAGACTGTGCTGGCCCCGCTGAATTATTTTCTGGTAGAGGTATTGATTTTACTTTGATCTGTGCACACACACACACACACACACACACAGAGTATTACCCATGCTGGACTGAAGTCTGTGGCTACAGAGCCAAGTCAAGCCTTCAGGTCCCAGTAGGTCCCAGGACAAGGCCCAGGCTCATCATGTGCTGCCACGATCCCAGTGAATACCAGTGGAACGGGGGGCAGGAAGCCAGCACAAGGCTTCCATCAGCCACTGACCACAGAAGACGTGTCTCAGCGAACAGCTCAGAGCCTGGATCATGGTACATATTTAATTTAATATTTCCTGAATACGTTTGTTTTTCTCCTACAGTATCAAAAGCCTATAAATGTCTCATCTTTCCTTCCCCTTTCCTTGCCCTAGGTCCACCTATGGACATACATACATAGGTCCACTGACATACCTGAGAGTGTTAATTGCTGAGCTAACAAGAGTCACTGTGCACTAACTCCCCATGCAGGACCTCTGTCCTCCATGAGTTGTATTGAGAGTTAACTGTAAAACCAGTTCTCAAACAGTTGTGAGTGTGTGTGTGTGTGTGTGTGCAAACTGTTGAAATCTTCACTTAGTCTGGAGTTGATCTTCTGGGTAAAAGTTAATTGGAAATGAATCTTGATGGAGAATGGGACTGGCAAGGGGAGAGGGAGGAGGAGGAGGGTGGGAGTGTGGGAGGGAGGGCGGGTATGGGGGAAGAATCACCATATTCCTAAAGTGGTACTTATGAAATTTGCGTTCCTTAAATAATAAATTTAAAGAAAAGAAGCAGTATCAAAAAAAGAGAAAAATTGTTGTCAAAATGAGAAAGCAGGTGGGCATTGTCATGCAACAGATTAAGCTGCCACTTGGGATGCCAGCATCGGACATAGGAGTGTCTGGGCTCAGTACCAGCTCCACTCCCAGTCAAGCTTCCCGCTCGCGAGTATCCAAGCAGGCAGAGGTAATGGCCCAAGTGCTTGGGTCCCTGAGTTGAATTCCTGGCTTCCAGCTTTGGCCTGGCCCAGCCCTGCTCCTCCTGGCATTTGAGGAGAGATCTCTGTCTCTTTCTCTCTTTGCTTCTCTGCCTTTCAAATGAATTAAGTAAATGGAAATTTTTTAAACGCAAAAATTTCCTCAGAATTCACTAGAAATTAATGATGAGGATGTGATTTGCAAAAAGACAAATCAAGGGCCGGCGCCGCGGCTCACTAGGCTAATCCTCTGCCTAGTGGCGCCGGCACACCGGGTTCTAGTCCCGGTCGGGGCGCTGGATTCTGTCCCGGTTGCCCCTCTTCCAGGCCAGCCCTTTGCTGTGGCCAGGGAGTGCAGTGGAGGATGGCCCAGGTACTTGGGCCCTGCACCCCATGGGAGACCAGGAAAAGCACCTGGCTCCTGGCTCCTGCCATCGGATCAGCGCGGTGCGCCGGCTGCAGCGGCGGCCATTGGAGGGTGAACCAACGGCAAAGGAAGACCTTTCTCTCTCTCTCTCTCACTGTCCACTCTGCCTGTCAAAAAAAAAAAAAAAAAAAAGACAAATCAAGATCACTGTAACTTCTGGGGGGCAGTTCCCTGCTCAAAAGCCGCGCTACCCGGGACAGCCCCTTCCCCACAGTATCCACGGTGCCCATTCGCTGTTTGTCAGGGAAGTTAGCTTATGGCTGAGCCCCGCCCTCTCAGTCTGAGCCCCGCCCCCCAGTCTGAGCCCCACCCCCTCAGTCTGAGCCCCGCCCCTTTGAGCTCCGCCTCCTCAGTCTTAGCCCCACCCCCTCAGTCTGAGCCCCCCCCCCCCCCCAGTCTGAGCCCTTTGGGGGTGGGGAGTGAGTGAAGCTGATTCCTTTGGAAGGTCTCAGCTGAGTCCTCACTGCCCTGCTTTCCTGCCCCCGAGGACTGCACAGAGATCAAGGCAGCCCGAGTCCCTGAGGGGCGAGCGGAACTCAAAGCCTGGCAGAGCGTCTGCTTCCGAGGCCTGTGCTTCGGCCCAGACACCTCAGCTGCCTCCCGCCGGAGCAGGCACATCGCATCTCGCAAACTCTGCAGCGTGAGACAGTTGTGATGCATTTTTACTACAAGACCACATGCTAAACTGCAAGTAGACCAGTCGAATGCTATCTCCTGGGTATGCGGGAATATTTACGAGAGGATATGAAAACTTTGGTGAAGCAGTTTTCACACCCACTGGTGTCATGAGAGTCCTTGGTCGTAAACAGTGTGTAAGAATTTCCCCTCCTCCCAAGTGTTTCCCAACTCACCAAGGCAGGAAATGGAAGGAGTCCCAGACAGGAGCCAAAAGCCCCAGGCAGGGCAAGTCAGCAGCTGCTGCAGGCTGCCGCCATTAGCCCCCCCACCCCCGCCATCTCTGCGGGGTGTAGGTGATGGGGGAGGTGTTCACCTCCACAGCACTCACACCGCGTGACTGTGGTGTCTCTGCGCATGCCTCAGTTCCACCTTGACAGCTGCTGCTCCTGTGCCAGGTGACACTCATGTGGTGACAGGGAGTGAGTCCAGAGACCCACCTGAAATAAACAGGGACACCATGGCCAGCACTCACAGGCCTGGGCGACCACGTCTCAGATCCCTGGAGGGGAGGCACAGGGAAGGGAGTCAGCCACAGACGGCCCCACCTGCGCACTGCCGGCCATTCCAGCCTCCTGTCAGTGCTCTGGTGCGCCTGCACCCCCTGCCCCCGGCCCTGCCACGATTTCCTCTCACGGAATCAGGGCTAAGAGGACCTTAGAGCTCGGGAGCCTTTCCCACTCTGGTCTGCACCGCGATCTCAAGCTGAAAGCAAATGTGTTCTTTGGGAAGGGCCCAAGACCACGTATTGGGCCCCGCAGGGGAGCTGTCCTTGAGGAAGTGAGGGTCTTAAAACCCTGACCACCAAACTTGGGTCACCAACAAAGGCTGTGGGCAGATAAATGTGGACCCCACTGCAACTCTGTGTGTACGTGTGGGTAACACACATACAGGCCACACATAGACACACATAGAGACACATCACACACATGCCACACACAGAGATTCATACACAGACCTACATAAACCACACACAACACATACAGACTCAGACAGACACATCACACACACACAGACTACACACAGATATACATACAGACTTACCTAAACCACCTACAGACACATCACACACACACACACAGATACACATACAGACTTACATAAACCACACCCACAGACATACAGACTCACACAGAGACACATGCCACACCCACGTCAGAGTAGGACTGAGACCTAGTGCATGGGGTAGAATTTGGCGTGGTTACCCCACATCACAGAGTGGAGTGCCTGGGTTTGAGTCCTGGCTTCACTCTCACCCTGAGAGGCAGCAGTGATGGCTGGAGCCCTTGGGTCCCTGCTATGCAAGTGGGAGGCCCAGACTGGGTTCCAGGCTCCCGGTTTCAGACTGGCCCAGCCCTGGCTGTTGCAGGCATTTGGGAAGTGAACCAGCAAATGGAAGATCTCTCTCTCTTTCGAATAAATATTTTTTAAAAAATTTAAAGGCACAGTGATTTCCCTAGTAAGCCATCTCTGTTCGTTTTCGACGTTTTCTTTTTTCTGGTATCGACATGAGGATCGCCATCTACGCTGAGGGTAGAGCAAGCCAAGACGATCCTCAGAGAAAGGGTCTCAGTCCCGGGCCCACCACCGCAGCCCCGCTGCGCGCACCCTCGGCCTGACGGAGCCTCCCGCAGCGCCGCCCACCCTCTGGGGCAGGGGTCCGAGGGGTGCCAGTCCTCCGGCAGGGGCTCCGGCCTGCAGGTGGGTGGGGAGCAGATCCAGTGCGGGCCACTGTAGCCAGGTGGGGGGAGCAGCCGAGGTCTGACCGCTCCTCGCGGACCACGCAGGCCGATGACTGACAGATCCGGCCGAATCCCAGGACAGCACAGGTCTGTGATTGACACCCCAAACTGCTTTTGACTGATCCTCGAGGCTCTGTGGAGGCCCTTGACTGGCAGCTGCAGATGATTCGGTTTTCCACACACACACACACACACACACACACACACAGGGTTATGGTTTACACACACACACACACACACAGGGTGCACACACCGCGCAGCGAATTCTCTTCCTTCCTGCGCAATGCCAAGCCCCGCCCACCGGAGAGCCCCGCCCCAGCAAACCCTGACCTCTCTGGCCGCTGTGACACGCCCCCCTGAAGGCCATGGCCCGCTGCCGTCCAGCCCTGTCGGTCTCCGGACGCTGTGAACCGTCCCCTCTACCCTGAGTTTAGGTGATTGGAGTCAAATTCCCAGGCGTGCTTACTGCCGCGTGCCCCTGATGGCCTGAACACGTGGTTCTCGGTCGGATCCTCCCCTCGGAGTATCCCGCGGGCCTCAGTGGGGTGTGCACTGACCCGGGATTTAACTTGGTGGGGGGCTGTTGCCTGTTGCGGGTTCCCTTGGATTGGTGTTTTCCTTGCTTTCTGATTTTGTTCGTGCACAACTTGAGTTCTGCGCTTGCACTTTTGTTTTTGCTCTCCCACACATCTCTGGGTGCGGCTCTTCCACGCGCTTGGGGAAGGGCTTGCAGCTGCGCGGAGACCCCACACTGGTCCCACACAAAGTGGAGGGGAAACGAAACCCCCCCCCCCCGGCATCTGGGAGCAGGGCTCCCAGGGTACTGCGTGTCAGGACACCAAGGGTGGGTCACCCATGTCAGGGCTGTGGCAGGGTCTGTCACCCGTGTGAGAACTATGTGAGGACACCAGGTTCTGTCACCCGTGTCAGGGGTGTGTGAGGACACCAGGTTCTGTCAGCCATGTCTGGGCTGTGTGAGGACACCAGGTTCTGTCCCCCGTGTCAGGGTTGTGTGAAGACACCAGGTTCTATCCCCCATGT